TTGACCGTGTTTATATCTCCTGATGAGCTATTGTGAATTTTCGGAGCAATGAAGAATAATGACTTCTGATCGATAGATTTGTTTACTCTAGGAATACTAACATTTTGTGCTCCTCTTCCATGGGTGGGGTACATGTGCTGCACATTTCCTAAGTAAGATTTGTTCTGAACAATATAACTGATTTCGTGAAGAGTTGTCTTCTTAAATGTTCATTTTCGTGAAGTTCTGTCGAATATTGTTTTGGCTTGAAAGACATTATTTTGATTATACTTTTTTGAACAATTTTCAGCTGCCTAAGGAGTGTTTTACCAACACCTCCCCAACCAATTATGCAGTAGTTGAGCTGTTATTCTACTATCAGAGAGTAACATATTGTTTTGAGTTCCTTTAGAGTAAGTATTTGACGACATTGGTGAAATTTGTAAAGTGAAGATCTTACTTTTTCAAAGGTTCATAAAGGTAAATGATTTATCACGCAATTATTATTAGATTAGTATCTGAGATTATCTTCTCGGCTGGCCATAACGTTTGTAAATTATAATCAACAAAAAGTATTGTCGCAGTATTTTTTGTCATGATTGTGATCCTTGAAACAGGGAAGAACTCAAAGTTTGAATTGTAGCTCATTACAAAAAATATTCACATTTCCGCTAGCAAATTCATTACAGTTGAAGTATCCACACTCTACAGTGTGTCCCACTTACCATGCTCACCATGGGTATCTTTTTAACGGTGAGAGATACGAGGTCGGTTAAATGACACCAAATGTGGAATTTGTCAAGGCCAACTATAATGTGAAAAAATATTTTGATAAAATCTATTCGTTTTTGTTTTATACGCAAAAAACAGATTTTGATCATTTTCATGTCTCCTCCGTAACTTCTTCATTTATGAAAATATTCAAATAGGAATTTCACATTTTCATGGCAGGTTTTCAAAGTAATTTCGAAAAAAATTTGAAATGTATACCAACTCTTCTAGAATTTGAGATATCAGCACCAACTTTAGTTTTTCAAATGTAGGTCATAGCTCACTATAACTTAGTTACAAATAACTTCTTTTTCTCTTACAGATGATATGTCGCAGTGATAGTTTTGTGTTGATAACAACGGAGTTACCGTCATTTATACAAAAACTAAAAATTATTTGGAAGCCGTCATCTTCAATTTATAAATTTCAACACAAAAATCATGATCTCCGACCTCAAAAACCCCCCCTCACCAATTTTGAATGGAATCGGACCAAATCTTGTGCGCCATCTTAGAGTAGCCATTTTTTTTTTTTAATTTCAACAAAAATTCCATAATGTATTGTGGACAAGATTTGGATCGATTCCATTCAAAATTGGTAAGTGGGGGTTTTTGAGGTCGGAGATCATGATTTTTTTGTTAAAATTCATAAATTCAAGATGGCGGCTTCCAAATAATTTTTAGTTTTTGTATAAATGACGGTAACTCCGTTGTTATCAACACAAAACTATTACTGCGACATATCATCTGTAAGAGAAAAAAAAGTTATTTGTAACTAAGGAGGAATTTCTTTCATTTAACCATGAATAACATGATGCTCACCCCAACTTCATAAACATATCTATAAAAATAAGTAGTTATAACTCAATCCTCTTCAGGGCATTGTTCTTGAGTATTTTGCGTATATGAGGCGGTATATGTGAAACTTTTGAATCACGTACATACATGTATATGTCACTATTACAGCACACAATATGTTTGTCATTTTAATCTGTTTTGTTCTTCAATGTCCGTTTTTCAATTTGTAATTTAACATGTATACTTGAGTGTTTTTACTATAATAATAATATCTATTGTACCTTGACTTACTACAAACATGTAATTCATGTCAAGTGGTTAAATAAAACTATCTATCTATCTATCTATATCTCTGTTCTCATTCCCGATAGATCCCAAGTGGAATACATCGATAAAATCAGCTCTTCAGGAAGAATCTGTAAATGCGATAAAATACAGGGTGTTTCATTTGAAATATCAATGTTGCTACTACTTTCTATTAGAAGCGGCAACACTGCAGCGTCGAAAATATTTTAAATGAAGAGAGCGTATTCTGAAACATGAGCATGCACATTTTCATGGATTTCTTCCGACTGATTTTCGATATACAGATTGTGTAAGCTCGTCGTGACATAGGTACACTGTATTGATCAGAGAGATAGAACGTTCAAGTACCGCATTCGCGAAGATATATGAGTTTTTCAAGAAGAAGAGAAAAAGCAAGTCATAATGAGGTAGTCAATCATAGGTTAATCAAAAGAAAAATCATAGTTATGATGACAGTTTCGAAATATTATGTGTATACAGGGTGAGTCAAAAATGTGTACCGAGCTTTCTGGGGGTGATAGAACATTGAAAAATAAGTGTAGTTTGATGATTAAACTCATGGCCCAAAATGCATATTAAGGGAGATGTATCCTTCCAAAGTTGATAAAATTGAAATAATTTCTCCGCATAACTTCTGAACGATGAAAGCAACCCGATTGAAATTTTGTGCATGAATGTATGTTGTCAAAATACATTTTTTCGTCACACTTCCACATTTCTGATATTGTTATAAAGGGTGTTTTCAGAGGGTGAGTCATGATTTTTTGTATGAAACTTTTTTCCCTGTATTATTTTTGGTGAAAAAGCAGAAGCATTTGATGGAGCGAAGAAAATTACATAAAAAAGGTACTTCTATTCAGATACAAAAACTTGAGCCGTTCGTGAGATATTTGAGTTTTTGTAGTTACATGATATCAGCAGATTGATTTTATTCATCGCGAGATTCATCGGTAAGTACATAGCATAAGTCTGTCCCAACAAGGTTTGAATAAAAATAAAAGTTTGATAATGTTTTCGGAACTTTTAATTAATACATAATTTTGAATGGAAGAAAAAGGAAAGAAACAAATTAAAGTAGCTGTTCGAAATGTCCACCGTTTTCGGTTATACATAATCTGAGGCGTTTACGTAAATTATCCATCAAACCGTTCATAGTTTGGTGATCATTTTTCAACAACGTAAATTCGTTCACAATTTTTTGCCTCAGCTCCTCAACATTCCGAATTTCGCTTGAATAAACCCTAGATTTCATGTAACCCCAGATCAAAAAATCTAGTGGATTGAGGTCAGGCGAAAGAGCGGGCCAGGAAATAGGAGCATCTATGCCTCGTCCTATCCACCTATCAGGAAAATTATCATTGCGTACAACTCTTACCTAATGAGGTGGTGCTCCATCATGCATAAAGCAGATTTCCCTACGTATGTTGATAGGAATGTCTTCTAATATCGTACCTAACTCATTTTCTAAGAAGTAGAGGTACATTGCACCATTCAGAGACCCTGGGAACATGTAGTATCCAACGAATTTGTCTCCTAAAGTCGCAGCCCAGACGTTCACTTTGAAATTATATTGAAAATGCGTTACTTTAACAACGTGTGGATTTTCGTCAGCCCAGAAATGAGTGTTGCACGAATTGAAAACACCGTTTCTAGTAAAAGTTGCTTCGTCTGTGAACAATATTTTGTTTAAAAACTCAGGACATCTTCGAGTTCGTTCCAGCAACTCTTCGCAAATTCTCAATCTTATTTCATTGTCTCGTGGTAACAGTTCTTGTACCTGCAAATAATGATAAGGGTGTAGCTGTTGCTCTCTCAGAATCCTGGTTACATTCGCTTTTGTTGTGTCTATTCGTCTTGCTAATTTCCTTGTTCTTATTTCCGGATCCTGTTCCACAGTATTTAATACTTCTTCTTCAACTTCTAACTGTAGAAGTTGAAGAAGAAGTGCGAGAACTGTCTCGCACTTCTAGGTCGATCACCATTTCTATTATTGGTTTTCAAACATCCTGTTTCACGCAGTCTTTGTACAATCCTCAAAATTGTTCTCGAATTTGGAACGCGTCGAGCGAGAAACATCTCTGCATATCGTCTCACAGCAGCATTTGCATTTCCGAAGCACTCGCCAAGCATTAGAAGCATATCAGTTTGTTCAGAGAACGAATAACCTGCAATATTTCTTAAAATCTCAGTTGATAATCGCAGTGATAAATGAAACAGAAAAACCACACGAACAAATCAACTACAACAATGTTAACTCGAATGTTGATGACATGAACGTCAAAATTGAGAACAAAATTATTCATCATGGCCTGCTGAAATATTGTTACCTCGCGATGAATAAAATCAATCTGCTGATATCATGTAACTACAAAAACTCAAATATCTCACGAACGGCTCAATTTTTTGTATTTGAATAAGAGTACCTTTTTCATGTAATTTTCTTCTTTCCATCAAATGCTCCTGTTTTTTTAACGAAAATAATACAGGAAAAAAAGTTTTCTACAAAAAATCATGACTCACCCCCTGAAAACACCCTTTATAACAATATCAGAAATATGGAAGTGTGACGAAAAAATGTATTTTGACAACATACATTCATGCACAAAATTTCAATCGGGTGGCTTTCATCGTTCAGAAGTTATACGGAGAAATTATTTTAATTTTATCAACTTTGGAAGGATATATCTCCCTTAATATGCATTTTGGGCCATGAGTTTAATCATCAAACTACACTTATTTTTCAATGTTCTATCACCCCCAGAAAGCTCGATACACATTTTTGACTCACCCTGTAGATACTGAATCATTTGAAAACAAAAATCGACGCGTTGTCTATCACTAAGTAGAGGTTGAAAGAATGTGATCATTTTTTTTTCGTTTACTGATGATTGAAGAGTTGTACTGGACTACTAGGCATGCTACTATCTTTCGGTCTCCAAACTCTTTTCTTTTCAAATATACTGGGTAGAATATAGGGATCAATTTCTATCAATCATCACCAATTCAATCAGGATTAAGAGTGTAACTTTGTTAAACTTTGCGTTTGCGAAGCGGAATAGAATTCAGAATGCTGAATTCAATCCAATCTACTGATCAGCATGTTCCAGCAAACATTATTGATCCTATATTTTCCCTCACAAAACTTACACAGGATCGCTGGACATCCAAGTTGCTAGTTAATCTTCTGAGCCTGGAATATTCCCTTCCATATCTTTCCGTCTCGGTCATTTTGGTTTATATTATGATTGTTTATGTGGTACAGGCTATCCGGAGCCAAATTTTATTTTTAATATCACCTTGACACTAAACGTTGAAAGTTTCTCACACCTACATTCGGAAGTATTCGCGAACTAAGTGAGTACCTACTTTATATTTTTTTATGAGCAAAGTATATCGGACTTCAACTAATTTACACGGAATTTTCCGACCAACTGAAAGTTTATGTAAGATTCTGTTTGTTTGTTTTCGATTTTGGCAGAGGACAAGTCTACAAAATTAGGCTATTATAATATAAATTAAACGACTGTTATTATTGAAGGAGGTCTATTTTGGGACCAACTAACGTTTTATTGGTGATTATCATTAATTACAAGAATATATTCAGGGTGTACAACTACTTGTTGATGGACTTTGTACAGTACTTATATTACCTATGTCTCAAATTTCATGACTATGAATTTATCTCCATGGCGAAAATAATTACAATATGAGTGGTGTAATATACAGGTGAATATCTGTTTTACGTTACCACATTATTATCGTCTCCTATATTCTGTGTAGCGCAGATTCCGAATCTGAAATCCATCTGTTATGAAGTATTTTTGAGGACTTCCTTACTAAGAAACGGTTTATGTGGAAATGCCTGTCTCATCGTCTATATTTCAATTCTAGACATAAATTCCAGTAAACTCAGTTGTTCTACACAATACAGGGTGGGCAAATTTCATTGATAATCAGGTACTAACATCATGTTCGACTCATAGCTGGTCATAAAGATACTCGACTCGTTACACACTTCTCTACTTCAAACTGAGTCAGATTGATGTTTCTAGCTCTAGGAAAGTATCATAGTGTAGTAGATATGCTATAAAAAATGGTCTCAGGTGGAAATAATTCCCACAAAATTCTTTTTTGCTTTTTTCAGTTCAGAATGCATAGAATAACACATATGAGAAAATATAGAATGATACCTGTGTGCAAAATAAAAATGGCATATTTGGCATGTAACAGAAGTTCATTCGTTATCTTCAACTTCCTCTATTGGAATATCGGTACTTTCCCGAACAATTATTGCACAATACTGTGCAAAAAAATCCGTATCGTCGACATTTACATCTGGTTCCACAAGGTTCCACAGTTTTGCAAGAATTTCTGTACGTCATCATATGATACAGAAAACCCAAGCTTATGACAAGTATCCGAGATCGAAAATCTCGATGGTACTGCTCACCAACACCTAGACGAATTGAACTTATGATAGATCGTGGCCTCGCAGCTTGCATTAGTGCCTATTCAATTGAATTTTTCTTCAAACTTGGGGATTTTCAGTTGATTATTATATCCAAGAACGAAGTCCAAGAATGTTTTCAAAATGTCGGGTGAAACCTCATTATTTTCCTGCTCGGAACTCATTTCTTCTGGTGAAGGATAAAACTCTAAGGATGTTCTCATCAACTTGATTGAATGCTTAATCAGTTTAGCTGTTGCTTCAACTATCCGAAATTCTTCAGCATCTGGATCTTCTGAACACTTTTGTCGCTGATAATCACAAATTATATTGGCAACTGTTTTCCCTGTTACGATCATATTAGCTCTACCTTTTTTGTCTCAATATCATAATGTCATCCGAGAAATATTCTTTTTTATGCATACGACGAACAGTGTAAGGTTCGATAGTTTCTGGCAGCAGCTCTGCCATTTTGTCCATCAACTTCTGAACTGAAATTGGTTCATCATTTTTTCTTGATCCACCTGCATATTTCTCAAAAGGCAACTTCTTTATTTTTATCAGAAGGACGTCCTGCTAACCTTGTCTGTTCATTGGGAATATTATGTTGATGTTTCTCAGGAATAGAGTCGCCTTTTCCAAAATTCACACGACATTTCTGATTATACAGAGCATCTGCTGCTGGCAAGTATCGATAACGGAAAAAAGACGTGCTAGGACATCTATATCTCCCCTAAAGTAATATCTTGAATAATCCAATCCTTATCGTCCACGACGAAATAACAAACCATGGTTTGATACTGACTGTGCTGCTGCTAAAAAAAATATGCAGAAACTGCTGAGAGCCTGCAAACTCGAAAATTTTCCTTTTGATTTGAAAACTGAATATGTAACATCGAAGTCTGAATATAAAAAAATTAATAAAATGAAGAAAACACACTATGAATCGGGAATTATTACCAAGTTGCCGAATCCAACTAATTCCAAAGAATTCTGGCTTACTGTTAAACACTTCCGCAATAATTTCAACCACAAAAACTTATCCGTCCACGACTGGGAGAACTTTTACGAGAACATATATCCACCTAGAATAATTTCCATGGTGAACTTTGTAGATGTTAGTCATCCTTTCCTTGACGCTCCTTTCACTACTGCTGAGATCTATTCCGTCCTTAATAAAAGTAAAGATAGGAAGTCTCCTGGATCAGATGGTATATCTTATGAGTTCTTGAAAAATCTACCACATAACTGGGTACTGTATTTAACTTCTTTATTTAATACCATTTTTGAATCTACAATAATCCCGAATGCATGGTCTACCATAACACTCTCTATGTTACATAAGGGTGGCCCGGCAAATTCCCCGGATAACTTCAGAGGATTGGCGTTGTTAAACTGTTCCCACAAGCTATTCACAAGCGCAATTCTCACAAGATTAACTTGCTGGGTAGATGACTGCAATATATTTCCGAAATCTCAGTCAGGTTTTCGCTCGACCAGAAAATGTATTGACTATGTCTACACCTTGACTTCTATCATCCACCTTCATATTCGACATAGGAAGCGAAAGATATATGCTATATTCGTTGACTTCAAGAGAGCTTTCGATTCTATAAACCACAGCTTACTCTGGATAAAACTATTCAATTTAGGATTATCATCAAATATCATTCGTTTATTGAAGAACTTATATTCACAGGCAACTGTTCAGATTAGAGGCTCTAACGGATACACGAAACAATATGAAGTTACAACAGGTGTGTTACAAGGTGAACCATTAAGTCCCCTGTTATTCGCACTTTTTATAGCGGATATTGAAACCTTTTTTTATGAAAATGGAGCGCAAGGTGTCAACATAGATGATAAGAATGACGTTTTAATATTGATGTATGCTGATGATCTCGTTATCTTGGCTCATTCTGAAATCGATGTTGTTAGAAAACTCAAAATTCTGGAAAAATACACTACAGAAAACGACTTAACTGTCAACCTTAAGAAAACTAGAATAATTCAATTTTCTAGAGGTGGGTTTCAAAAACCAAACTTCAAATTTCACTTTGCCAGCCATGTAGTAGAAGTCACCAATAAATATAATTATTTAGGAGTAACTTTCACATCATCTGGTCTCTTTCATGAAATGTCCACTTTGACCAACACCAAAGGCAAACAAGCTATTGGTTCTATTTTGCCTATTTTGTCTAAGGTTAAAATTGATACCTGGCCACCAAGGTTAAAGTTATTCGAATCATTAACTTTAAGTGTTATGTACAACTGCGTGCCAGTTTGGGTTCTCAGATATCTTGGAGTGCTTGAAAGAGTTCAAATATCCTTTCTTAAAAGAATTCTTTTAGTTGCCACCAATACACCCGATGCCATTGTTCGCTTAGAAACTGGGAGGGTGAAACTTGCTCATAATGTGCTTAAAATATCCGTGAACTGGATTTGCATAATACTGTCCATGGAAAAACATCGATACACAAGGCTTTGTTTTGAACAGCAAAGGCGTATTATAAATTACGCGGACCCTAAATATAATTGGCTTTTGCAAATGAAAAATTTTTTTGTTGATTCTGACTCCTTGCTATTATGGAATGATCTGAATTATAATGATTTATTCAAACATAGAAATACTTTATATGCTAAATATTATACATTCTTACATGACTCAGATCGTTCAATATCTTCCTGTTACCCTTTTTTGTATATTTACAATCTGCTTGGAACTTCCAGGGTACCAAGCACTTATTTACTATTGAAATTACCCATCCAAATCACCCGCACTCTTGCCCAACTACTTATGGCCAATCACTTTAAAATTAAATTCACCCTAAACGGAATTGCCTACTCCATTGACCCTGATCAAATTTGTCCAGTTTGCAACAGGAACGAAAATGAAACTCTCTTCCATATTATTTTTGACTGTCCGATCTACACTGTTATGAAACAAGGAGCTCCATAAGGAATTTGGGAACATTGATTATTGCCTTACAAAAAATAACAATCAGTGATGCTAGAATAATTTCTGAATATATTTGGATTTATTTTGAATGAATAAACTATAATTGTATTATTTTCTTCTTCTATAACTATTGATATTTATACTTGTACTTGGTAGGTTTTAATGTTCAATCGTTTTTTTTTATTCATTTCCAGAGTACAAACATACATATTATCCATTTTTTTCTGTCATACACTCGTTGCTGTAAACTTGTTTAGGAAGCAATGAACTATTATTATTATTATTATCTTGAATAATCACATAAGTGGAAAATGTCAGTGTTGCCGATCGGCATGAAAAAGTGAATAAAGTTTGGAAATTCCAAGAATATCAGGCAAAAAAATCTGGGTGCTACCCACCTGAACGGTCATAATCGATTTATCATTAATTATTTGGCAGAATTATTGCTGATGAAGAAGATGAAGTGCACCTACCACAATGAACTCAATATAAATACCGAGACGGCCGTTTTCTCGAATAGCACAAAGTGTGTCAGGGCAGCTGCAACAAAGATAGCATGATTTACGGTAACCTGTCTCTTTCCTACTCGTATTGTTTAATGGTGGATTGGGGTTTACGTTTTCTTTTATCTAATAATTGAAGTACTTCAGATTTCAGGCAAGGAAGTGAAGACATATAAGTTCATTGTCTTTGTTTATGTGAAATATCCATTTATTTGGCGTGTTTGTTTTATAAAAAGGACTGAATTTGTTGGTGTGAACACTGTGAACTGATTGTTGAGAAGGTTTTTACAAACAAATGGTGATTTATTTTGTCGCCTTTGGATGCAAGAACGAGCAAGACAGAAGGAAATTGTTATTTCATGGGTAAGTTGAATATTGTTCAGAGTTTTCGAAAATATAGTTCTTGAAATGATCATCAGTTAGGTGTACAATGTTCCCAGTTTCAGAATGTGTTTAAAAACTATGCCTGTATTATTTGTCGAAGTTAAATACTTCCATGACTGTTCCATAAACATATTGAGTAATATT